AAAGCATGGACGTGGATATATATATACATTTTGAAACCCTAACAAACCAAATGCTTTAGACGTTCAAGATTGCCCCCCCCCCCCCCCCCCTTGTTGTAAAGGAAGGTTGCGTGACTTTAGGATGATGTGTTAGGAGTCTATACTGACAATATACCGTGTTAGGACGTCGATTTATCATGACATCCAACACCATATCTGAGATGGCTCAATGACAGCCTGACACTGACACCGAGGGTGGTCAGGAGAGGAGAGAAATAAACAACACCCATTTCACACGAACATACACATCCAAATACATTTTCAAGGCTTAAAATAAAAATACATATTTGTATACGCATTTATATGTGGCCAAATGAAACACATTTTGTATCTGTATAAAGTTGTAAGAGTTAGCTTGTTTGTTAAACTAGAGAGAAAAGTCTGAGGGGAGTCAACCATCCATGGAGATGTGCACCTGTGGGTGTCAGAGCCTTGTCAGCAATGTAGGAATATGCTGATGGGTCAACAGATATGTACAAAAAACATTACAAAAATAAAACAAATGTTCAACGTGGAGAAATGTGGATGCATAAGGTGTAGATATTAGTATACATTAAGATGTGTATTGTTTTAATGGTTGCTAGATTAATAGAAATACAAGTTACCAAGATATATAAAGAGAGTGAGAAGGAATCAAACATTTAAATGAAGACACTTACTTGGATATCTGAAGTAGAACTCATTCTCCATGTCACTCTTATTTGTTTCCTTTCTGTCATCTATCCAGTGCGAATCTGAATCATCATCGTAACGAATAAAAATCCCAAACAAGATGATCATGGCTGTTTCCCACACAATGCAAACTGCCGGGAGACTGATGCGAACATTAGTATTCTTTGGACGGTCACACAATTCCCTGAAGCTTTGAACACAGCCCATTGTTTAGGTAGGTTTTGAGCGTTGTTTTTTCTTCTTTGCTTAGTTATAAAAAAGTCCTTTGCAAAAGTTGCAGCCACATAACGGCCCAGAGCATCTTTAGCACAAGTAAAGATAGGCAAGGTAGCTGTTTGCTTTAATATGAGGACACTCCCATAGTCACTCCCTCCACTTGGTATGCACTACTACACACTTCAGCTGGTGACACGTCTTAAGTAAGGGATGCTTAATGCTTTTTAATAATAATAAATATATATTTATATAGAGGAATAAAGTAGAATAGAATAGAATATAATTTACTCCTTTCCCTATAGCTTTTCTTATAGTAGAGTGTCGATCATCACACTTTGTGAGATATTGTAATATATATAAGTAAAGTACTTCTTCTACTAAGGACACAGAAGACATGCTCCACATCCTGCTTGAACAAGAGAAGGATGATGATGTTTAAGGACGTCTTCTCAACAGATTGTTTTGGTTATATCTTGTCTGGTAGGATAAAACACGTTTGTTATCCAGTCTGAGGGATTATATAGGTTTTATATTTTCTGGAAGCCCCTCTCTTAACACAAACACTCTTAGCATGTTAAGAGAGATTAACATTCCCTTTTTGTATACCATATGAAGCTTTTCTCTATAGTTAAAGGTCTCTAACGGACCTACACTTGTCCTCGTCTCACTAGTTGTTTCCTGTGCCTGTGAAGCATCAACTGTAAATAATGAGTAAACATGCTGGGCCCCATTAGAAAGATGCAGGACGTGTTGGACTCAGTCAACCATCACAGACGCAGGGTTCAAGGATGACACAAGGGTCCGGTTTGTTTGAAACAAAGTCTAGTAGTTTATGCACTACAGACACTTATACATGTTTCTTAAGACTTTTCTTAAGTTTATGTGCTCAAATAATTGACCAAATTTGACATTGTTTAAAATGAAGGAAGTATGGTATAATAACTACAACTGAAAGTAATAAAAGCTGTGTGGTTTAGCTATTGAAAAAAATACACTGTCTTAAACGAGTTTATTATTATGATGGGAAGCCAGCAGCTGGTTATTTTAGCATGGAAAAAAGACTGGCAGCTTGGTTGTGAGGGCGAAACAGAAACAAACAGCAGGGGGAAAATTACCTACCAGCATCTCTAAAGTTCACTTAAAGGTGGGGTATGTAATTTTGGAGAAACCAGCTCGAGTGCGCTTGAATTTGAAAGTACACAACCGGAAAAAATCTGCCTTTTCCTTCAGACTACCTTACAGAGCCCCTCCTCCAACACACACGAATACACACATGACCAATGAGGCCACGAGATAAGTTTGTGCACAGATGGAAGGCTGGCAGGCAGGTAGGCCATCCAGTTATTTTAGCTGGCCCAGCTAAAATGATTGGTCGTGCTTTTTACAGCGCTACGCCTTCCACAGATGAGAGTGGCGAAGTCACGCCCATCTACTTCCGGCCCATGGGACCTTATAGAGTGGCGAAGTCCCTACCTTTCCGGTGGACCTCCATGGGACCTTATTTTGGAAAAATCATGTATTGAAGTCAATGGAGAGAGAAAGATTATCTTTTGATCCCGTTTGAATTGTGCCACGAATTACACATATGTTTGTCAATTTAAAGCCGGCCCGGCTAAAATAACTATAGCGTAACCCCGGTTCTCAGAGTAACATGAGTGAGATGTCTCACTATGGGAGGCGCATCCCATAGTGAGACATCGAAACGAATGTTATGAATGAGAACTGGATGGCCTACCTGCCTGTCAGCCTTCCATCTGTGCACAAATGTATCTCGTGCCCTCATTGGTCATGTGCGCGTTCCTGTGTGTTCCTCTGTACGGAAGTGGCAGATTTTTTCTGGTTGTGTATTTTCAAATTCTAATGCTCAAAATCAAATTCTAAATCTCCAAAATTACCTACCCCACCTTTAAGAACATTCCATGGTTTATTTTTATACAAAAAGTGTTTCTGAAATAAATTACATACCCCACCTTTAATAAACACTTTATATCTTGTATGTTTAATATTTGCTACAACCAGAGTAAAACAAAATTGGGATATATGAGCTGAACTATTACTTTGCTTGGAGCCATTGCCAGGCATCTAGTGCTGTGTTTTTCTTATTTATAACATGTAAAGTGCGTCTAAAAGGTGCAGGTAGGCAGGTAGTTGCTTTGAACATTTCCAATCTGTTTGATGCTTTTGTCCCTTTCTCAGCCACACTTTGTCAAATGGTGACGTACTAAGGTGAAAGTACACACAAGGACGCCCTAATGTAAATAAACATCATCCGAACCTACCTGTCCGGTCCTGGCTATTATGTAAGAAAGGTCAAGTTCACTGGATTTAGGAGAACCCAGCAGCTCCTAAATGTCATGCGCTTGTTTTCCCCCAATGGCCTCAATAAACTGTGATGACAAGTAGAGTAAACTGGCTTTAACCAGCAATAGAAAAAGCAATGTTAATTGTACAGATACATTATTTCACAGGTAATGTGTTGAACACTGTCATTAAGGCCAATACAAATGGCGTTAGAGAATCATGTTTTCTAATCGAAGACATACATAATAGCACATTTGCTGAAAACATATCCACAATGTTTTAAATAGGTTTTTAATATTAGGAAATGTTGTACCCTTTTTGAGATAACAGCTATTTCTCCCCCTATTTTTGCATGATCAATTCATAAGTGTGAAGACACAACCAACGTTATAATAATCTATTCTTTGCTAAACAAACATTGATATAGTCCTGAATACAGCTTCAGCTATTGTTGCTGCAAAGCCTATGTTCAAAATGTTCGGTCAGATTTCCTGGTCACGGTATATGTTTGGTTCCTCATGTCAGTAAAAATTACTTCACGAGGAAAAAATGAGCGTGTCAGCAGCTAAACCTATAGATCAATGCACTGGTTGTGTGCTCACCAACGAATAACCTCATTAAAACGAACGAGCACTTATCCATGCTCATTGATCTTACTGCTCGGTTTAGCACTGCTACCTTGGTGCTGTTATCCTGGCAGATGATGTTCTCTTCAGGGATGAAGTGCAGCATTGATCCTTCTTGATCCTGAAACTCCTGGCTTTTTGAAGCAGCTTTTGTAACTTCGATATTCTTTAGAATAAAGGAAAGACGTGTGGTTAACTGTTGCCTGTAGGTTAAACATATAAAGCTGTATACATCTATGTAGCATGTTTTAGCTAAGGCTCTTTTATCTTTTATTTCCCTGCTCATAGTTATCCTGTAAACCAAGTGATCAAAATCCATGACAGCTTCACTTATCTAACCTTTGGGCTACTGAGACATACTGAAAATGTGTGAAGCAGGAAGTTACTAGTTAAGAAAGGTGACTACTACTACTACTACTACACTAACACATCACAACAGGAGCTACCACTGAATTCCCATGAGGCAGATGCAGTAAATAACATGATGCAGTCTTAACCAGTCCTATTCCCTGGTCATAGCAGGAAAAGTGAGGTTGTTACTTATCTCAGTAACAATTGAGAAGAGAATAAAACTCCATTACCCTCATTGCAGAAAGCACAATTCAATTAAGTGGCAGTCCTAAAGGTGTCACACATACCAAACAGCAATACAAATAAGTAAGAATAAACATGTACTGTATATCTTAGTTATAAAGTTTCCGGATATTGCACATTTGCAAATAAAGAGGAACATATATTGTACAAAGAAATACATTAAGGTGTAACCAGAAATAAAAGAAGCTTCTCTCTTTCAGTCAAATAGCTCTTGCTCAATATTACAAACACTTGTCAGCGTCATCAGTGACTTACAGTTTCCACAACTCTTCTGTTGAATAAACACACTTGACTGTTTCCCTCTGCTACAATAGAAGATCCTTCAAGCATCACATTGTTTCCTAAAAAAATACTATTTAATGAATATGTATCATCAATCCTCAACCTCATTATATTCTTGGTGTTTTCTTTGAATGACCACTGATTTATACTGATATCTCAACCAATGCTTCAAAAAGATGTACCTCCATATTCCTTTTATTTAATTAATGAACAGCACCTGTCTTTCTATTTTGACAAACCAAAACCCAACAATAAATACTAAAAAACGAATTTTATATTAAGATAAAATGCTTTCTGAATTTTATTTGAAGTTTTAAAACAACACATCAATTACTCAATTTGATATTCTCTTACTGATAATATAATTGTGTAAGAAGGTCTTTTGTGCACGGGACAAATACAGGAAAGGAGATTTGGCATCGTTTCCAAAGAAACATTTCACCACAAAACCTAAACACATGTCAGGACATCTGAGGAATGTGTGCTCATCATTTAATGTTCATGCATTATAAATCCGTCAGATGGCGAGTGAGGTGCTGTTCCAACGTGTGAAACTCCGCTTCAGGCAGAAGATACCTCTCTATGACATCTTTGACATCTTTCTCAGTAGAGAGCTCATAGTCCTTCTTGTTCTTGAATGGTAAATGCCCTGCCAGCTCACAGAGAGCAACGTTGAAGGCAGACTCGTCCTTTGCACCGAAGCACGATGTTCTGGGCCATACAGCGATGCGAACACCTTTTCTTGAGCAGTGATCCTTTTCATCCTGTATCTGATCAGAGGGCGGACTCCCGCGAGTCAAGAACAGGTTGTGCGCAGTATTACTTTCCACAAGAAAGTCTGTGACCTGACAGATGGCTCTGGCAACTTTCACCACACACTCTGATTCTGTGTAAAACAAAAAGCCTGCAGGAAAGTCCAATAAGCGATAAAATCCCTTTTCAGGAACTAGCAGCTTGACAGGCACAGATTCTATCTGGAGCTCATGGTGCAGGTAGTACCCATGTAGGTGTAAATGATTGACAGAGGCAAATGCTCCAAGACTATTGAACCCCACACGGAAGCCAGGATCGGAGCTCAGGAGCACAGATTCAATACCAACCTGGATGGAGAAGCTTGTCAGGACCTGCGGTAAACAGCATGAAGGTTCTTGAACAAAGAGAAAATGTCCAAACTCCAAAGGGCTGACATTGACCAGCACGACCACTCTCCAACGTTCATGCAACTGTCCCTTTTCCTTTCTTCCCTCAACAACCTTTGTCATCTCAAATATGACTTCTTCTGGATCGATGTTGTTAAAATTAAACTGATTGGCATTGAACTCCTGCTTAATGCTCAGTATTTCCTCAGGCTTTCTTCTTTGTAATCCTCTTTGAATATTCAGCTGGGCCACATAGCCATGTGGGCCCGGCATGATACGCGTTTGTAAGTCATCCAGATGGTAGCGGAAGAGCCCCCTGTTCATCCTGTCTGACCAGCCGGCTTGGATGGTCAGGTCAAAATTTGATGGCTCTGGTGCAATTCCATTTCCACTGCTCCGCTGGGCCTCTGTGACAAAGTCCTGGCCGTTATACACAAACTGAAGCGTCATGGTTAGATCTGCAGGGGAATAGTGAGGCAGAGAGGCGTTACATTTGACAATAAGGTTCACTATGGTATGTTAATGTATCATTCTGCTGTAGTCAGACATAGAGCCAGGTGATAGCCAGCTTGTGATCATAGAAGCGAGTTATGATTATCAATCACTCTGCATAGAGTAGCACTATCATACTGCATTGTAGTTAAACTATTTGGTATGGATTTGGAAACAATCTATTTTTGGTACATCAATTCATAACACATACGTAAGCAAAACGTTTGCAATGACACATTAATCATATTTATTTAAGTATAATTTCCACGTATAGCCAATGGGCAAATTAGCACGAAGGTATTGAGGATAACACACTGGTTCGGTGTAACTCTAACGGGAATGTATAGATGGTCCCTAAGTGACACACTGTGGAGGAGCGAGGGCTGCAGTCGAATAGTCCATTTAGCTTAGGAACCTTCCTAACCGAGTGAAATGACCCAGAAGTCCCTCAGTGGCAGCCATGATAAGTGCCGTTCGAATTCTCTAGATGAGGAAAGGAGGTTTCAAACTTCCTTTATAACCTCCTTTAGCTTAGGAACCACTGGACCTCCCTCACCAAAAGGAGAGTAGAGGAGAAAATGTTTCCCCACAATGCCTTGCAGCGGCAGCATTTGCCGTCGCACAACAGTTGGCCGTTCACGGAAACAACCGATTATGACCGAGAAATGATATCATGAAAGTTACGGTGCTTATTAAGCTTTTTTAAACGTATGTGGTAAGTTGCCAAAAGTGCTTTGTTTTGAACGTTCATCAGTATTATAATCAAAAAGAGAAATATGAACGTTAGTTTTTACTGAAATTATCAAATAAAGTCAACAGTCTTTACTGAGCTGTGTGGGGTTTGTTCAACTTTTAAAAGATGTTTGAATGGTGATACAGTGATAGATGTTAAGGACTAACGTTTATAATAAATACATTTGTATTGATTTTAAGATCTTTTCATAGTTCATACAATCTTTGGGATCATTTGTATTAATGTGGACCGGAGGGAGAGGGTGACGAGCATAAGTTTCACTTTCCTTTTTTATTTCAATTCCAACTTTGGTCATGAAGAATATGTTTCTCTGTTGTCCCCGTTCATAAAGCATAAAACAACACCATCAGAGCACGGTGCAGAGTCTCTAGATGAGTTTACAGTAGTCCCTCGTTCTTATTATACGGTTGTAGTACGCTGTATAGAAAACTGTAGTTTCCCCACAGCAGCAGACGCACATTTATGACGGCCGCTGGCGCATCGTAAACACATCGGATAGTGAAAGTGCAGTCGGATTCTTTAAAGTACCACAGTCTCTTCTCCTAAATCCTTTTCAATTCTCCTATCGACTATCCCTTAACCCCGTGACGTTTCACTCAGAGGTCAAGGAATAGACGATAGTGTTAGAATTTAGGAGCTGATTATTGGACTATTCGACTGCAGCCGAGGGCTCCGCTGCGACTGGTGTTCCGGATTAACTGGTTCCCTCGTTAACCGCGGTGAATTTAGTTTTAGGTTGGATATTCGACGGACATTCGCGGACCCGCCAGCAGCGTCAGTTTCCCCTGCTGCTGGCTGTATTACGACGGGGAGATCTTCTCCGCGAAACGAGGCTTTCACTTAGGGACCATCAACAAATGACTTTTCAATTACACAAGAACATTTTTCTTTTTAATAAATCGACAGCTTCCTGATCGAGTGAATGTGAAGCAAATCCACGCTAGAGCATGCATTTGTTGAACACACTTCTTTTTATTGCATTTTAATACTCTAAATATTTTTATATTAATATTTTGATGGAAAAATGTGCTTATTTCTTCAATACCTTCCAGGTCATGTGACCTAATCACTCAAAATCAGTGCTGGGTCAAAGAACTACACTGGCAGCATAGGACACACCTCTTTTTATTGCATTTTAATACTTTAAATATTTTTATATTAATAATTTGATGGAAAAATGTGCTTATTTCTTCAATACCTTCCAGGTCATGTGACCTAATCACTCAAAATCAGTGCTGGGTCAAATAACTACACTGGCTGAATAGGACACACCTCTTTTTATTGCATATTAACACTAAATATTTTATATTAATAATTTGATGGAAAAATTTGCTTATTTCTTCAATACCTTCCAGGTCATGTGACCTAATCACTTAAAATCAGTGCTGGGTCAAATAACTACACTGGCTGCATAGGACACACCTCTTTTTATTGCATTTTAATACTTTAAATATTTTTATATTAATAATTTGATGGAAAAATGTGCTTATTTCTTCAATACCTTCCAGGTCATGTGACCTAATCACTCAAAATCAGTGCTGGGTCAAATAACTACACTGGCTGCATAGGACACACCTCTTTTTATTGCATTTTAACACTTTAAATATTTTATATTAATAATTTGATGGAAAAATGTGCTTATTTCTTCAATACCTTCCAGGTCATGTGACCTAATCACTCAAAATCAGTGCTCCAATAACTGGTTTCCGGATCAACTGGGGTGATTTTCGATCGCTTCTTCTGTCGATTACATACATATTTTGGTATATTTGGCTCGGTAGGAAGACTTTGATGCACATTCAGTACCAGTGTGTGAGGTTGTGGTTACGATGGAGATATCCGGACGCGAACAGCGGGGACTACAAAAAGAAAAACGAGTTGACTGGGGATGTCTGTTCAAAACATTGCGAGCTCCAATAAATCATTTAAACCAGATATTGTTGCCAGACTTATTACTGAATATCATTCTTAATGTGATACCAAGTCCATCTGAGACCTGTGTACACCTTCAGACAGCCTCCAAGTGAAGCGTACGTTGTTTACTCACAGTTTGAAAGCAGCGTGGAGAAGTCTTCAGCTGTGAACTGTAAACTGTGATCCTCTCAGGTAAACATCCGCCCAGGAAAAAAATAAATGGGATCCGCCAAGGTTAAACTGTGTTACGACTTCTGTGGCTATCTACCAGCGATCATGATTAATATGAAAGACTACACACACATGTATCCCTTATAGCTCCTGGCAGCTGAAAGCCCACTGGATCCTAGTTTTTTTTGCAGTTCGACCAGTTTAAAGCTTTTTTATATACCTTTGTGTGATATGTTGTATACTAATGGGTCCAAAGACATTTAATCGTACATGTGGTCTATGATAGGAATGGATGTATTCGCTTCCTTACCTTCACGTGTTCTTCTTCTGTGGTGTTTATTCATGAATTTCCGGTTCAATTTTTCACAATAAATGTTTCTATAAAAGTATTTATATGGAAAATCTTTGTTACCCCTTTAATAAATGTGTACATCAATTTCGACATCAGATTGAGTAAATAATTGAGTTGAATATTTTTTACATTTACATTTTAATACGGTAATGATAGCAGTTATAGCAGCCTATCGATTTTAAATTGAAAAGAGGACAACTTGACAAAAAAACAACGTTACATCCTATACATATTTCCAAAAACAGATCGCTGCGTATTATACGAACATTATACTAATATAAGCACATGATACATCTAAAATTCACCCAGTAGTGAAACAAATATTCAAATAATGTAGGCTAGCCTACATTATTTGAATATTGTTCTGTGGTCACAGCAGACTCAAACGAAAAGTCCTGCATTCAGGGGCGGACAATGGGGCGGACTGGCCATCTGGAGAACCAATCTGGCCGGCCCTTTAGAAAAAAATTGTTTAACGTCATCATTTAAATTGGGCTGAAGGCCGACCGGGGGGCGACAGCGGCCGCTAATGTAGTTGGCTGTGGTTCTTATCTGTCAAAATCACACACAAAGAAGAAAAAAGACCGTCCACACGAAGAGAAGGGATTAGACGCTGCGACAGACAGGGAGAATGAAAAAACATGGATAAAAATCAAAGAAAACGAAAAGAAAAAGGTGGGGCCGAGAAGGCAAGAGCAAAAAAGATGAAGTCACTGGCAGGTGAAGCATATAAATGTCGCAAATTGACAGATATTTTTGGCAGCAGCGCTGCTACAAGCTCTATCATCAGCAGTTTAGAACAAGTGCAAGATGATGAAGAGAATGATGAGGGTGCGAGTTCAGATATACAGCCAGCCTCCTGCTTTCATGATGAGGGACAGAGAGTTGGCTGGTGGAAGAACCAGCTCAACTGGCACATACAAGTGCAGGGCAAGAGCAAGAGTTTTGATTGATTGACAAGTTTATTAACAGCTTGTATATTGGGTACAGTACAGTACAGCTCAAAACATACAATTGTTAAGGGGATGCAGACCAGAGAAAGACTTTCGTCTTGTTTACATCAGGGTCCCCCATTTCCAATTCATCATGTCATTTAAGACATATAAGACATATTTGACATACAGATGGCTTATTTACAATTTACATACAGGTGTTTTTTTTACATACAGATTGCTTGTTTACAATTTTCATTTTAGATTTCGTTCTAATACATCCTAACCGGACATTTAAGACATACCAAGTCTACAGATATACAGTTAGTAACAGAGTCTAAAATGCGAGTATATACATAGATGGGGGGGGGGGGGGGGGGAAGCTGTCCATTGAACGACAGGTTGAGATTTGTACCATTACCGGGGCCAGTTTTGCAATGCTCTCCCCCGAAGGTGCTCTTTAAGAGAGGTTTTGAAGGTAAGTATAGTTTTACTTTCCTTTACAGTTGTGGGAAGAGCGTTCCACCTTGATGTGGCATAATTGCGAAACGTGTATTCCCCCTTTTTTGTGCCAAATCTGGGTTTCACATGATTTGTGGAGCTCCCTCTGGTGTTATGATCATGGTATTCCTTGACATTTGGGAAGAATTTTGACATGTACATGGGTACCATAGAGGTGTAGTGGATCTTGTAGACCAGGCCCATTGCAAGTAGCTGTACTCTGTCGTCTACTCTAAGCCATCTTAGGTTGTCAAAGTGGGCAGAGGTGAGGTGGGTTCTAGATGAAAGGTCAAGCAGTAGTCTGACTAGAGGTGGGTGAGAATTATCCCTTGAACTCAGTGGCGTTTTCTCCTGGAGGCCAAGGGAAGCCAGGCTTCCCCTGTTTTTTTGGATTGTAGTTATCATTTTAATAAATAAATAAAAACACTTTGTTTAGTTTCGGTAATTATTCTGTGCTTTGTGTTGCTGCCGGCCCGTCTCTCCCCCATTCTCATTGAGTATTTTACAAAGAGTGAAACAGCGCCCCTCTAGATGTTATGGTGAAACAGTAGATTGCACTCTCTGTTGCGAGAGGAGGCTAGCCGAAATTGGTTTCCCTTGGTGAAAAAAAGGAGGGATTGACCAATCAGATGAGGCTCACGTCATGCCCCTGCCAACCTGTGATTGGTCAGGGCCATGCCAAGACCAATCCAGAGGCGGTTGGCTTCCCTTGCCTCACAATCCAATCAAATCGCATCAACTTCAGTTCGGACTGTAACTGTCATCACCGCCCTTAGAAAGTAGCAAGCAAATGAAGCAAACTGTGCAATTATGGAAGGTGGAGATTTGAAGTATTTCATCAAACATAATTGTACTAAACTTCCGCTACAGCAGCAACTAAAAATTAAATCTGATGACAGGCCAATGCCCAAACTGGAGCTGTGTACCGAGAGGAAAAAAAGGAGCGAATCGGACGTAAAACTTTAAATAATAAACAGCGGATTTCTAACATTTGACATTTTATGTGGCCGGACTAGTTCAGTTTCCAGGGCTGAATTTTAGTCCCAGTCCGCCCCTGCCTGCATTCACTTAAGTACAGAATTGTCATCAACAAAATATACATCCAGGACATGGTTAAACCGTACACCCCAGCGCGTGCACTACGCTCTGCATCAGCCAAACGACTCGTTGCGCCCTCGCTGCGAAGGGGACCCAAGTTCCCATCGGCGAAAACACGTGGGTTTGCTGTCCTGGCTCCAAGATGGTGGAATGAGCTCCCCATTGACATCAGGACGGCAGATAGCTTGCACATCTTCCGGCGCAAACTGAAAACTCATCTCTTTCGACTCCACTTCGAGCGTTAGAACTATTAACGAAGCACTTTTATACTAATAAAGGACTGGCTTACCTAAAGCCAGTTGAGTAGCACTTGAAATGTTTGGCTCTATGAAACCTGATGTACTTATATGATTCTGTTTTCTTCAAGGTTGTGTCTTCCTGGTCGAATGTCTTATTGTAAGTCGCTTTGGATAAAAGTGTCAGCTAAATGCAATGTAATGTAATATAATCAAAGCATCAAAGGTAAAATAATTTGCTTTCAGAGTTAACACATTATATAGCCTACTGGAATATTATTATTAATGCATTTAGATGTAAATATGTGCCTAATGTTATGTATGTGAGGTAAAGCCAAGTACAAAGTACAATATTTGCCTCTATTAAAATTGGGCATAAAATGAAATTCCTCCTAACTATTTGTTTCAAAAATAATCTTGTTCCCCCTAATAAGTGCTCACATACAACCCACCCCACCCCACCCCCAATAATCACACACACACATAAAGCTGTTCAGAGGATATCCAAACGATAAGCCGTATTGTATTGAAAAAGAATGTGAGCAATATTTTACTGCTGAGCAACTGTCCAGTTTTTCCTTGTTGATCCGTGGAGGCTCAACTCACTCTGAAAGAATGAGCAGCTGGCCAATGAGCCATCATGGTTATTTTAGTCTCTGCATGCTTTAGGAGATAAAGCAGGCAGTGATTGGCAGAGTTGTGAATGTGTACCACAGAGTTTTGGGGCTCATCACAGACGGTGTGTCTCATCTAAACTACCTACTGAACTAGCTGTGAAAAACTATGGAAGACAGCAACAACAAAGTAGGTACAGTTGTGTTTGATGCCTGGTTAGTAAAACTGCTATGATTTCTTAAAAGTTATTTAAACATAGACAGCTACAAAAATAGTTTTGTGCCGTTAACAAATTACACTTTGATTAATTATTTGAAATATTGATTATGGGGTTTCTTTTCTACGTTGAAATGGCTTTAACCTTTTTAGAGCTTCAAGAGTTGGACAATAATAGAGTTGTATCTGTTTAGAGGAACAGATGGCAGTCTGGTCCGCCATGCTTCTAGTTATTTTTAACACCATCAACAGTTTCTGTTACCAACACATCACTCTCACTATACTAGTTTGTTAGTTTTGCCCTGATTGTTTTAGCTGGTCTTTTATTTCATTTTCTCTGACAGTTTTGTACCTCTTTCTTTTGTAGGTGGAAAAGAACGCAGAAGATAAAGCTCCCAATCTAAATCTAAATATGACACCAAATGCTGATGGAGGGCACACAGAAGATGATTCACAGTCACCCCTAACAGTCATTGTCCAAGGTATGTACTGCATTAATCCAATTTGTAATGAATCCATTAATACACCGCATATTAGATAGTGACTATTAATACTTCCCTTCTCCCAATTTTCAATTTAATCATGTTTAAATTAATCACAATTATAGATATATATGCAATAAACCATATTGTAAAACAAATACGAGACTAATTTAAAGCGTAACAACACAATCTTAGTTCAAACACATGTTTTTGTGGCTTAATATCTCGCAATGTTTTGAACGAGTCACATTTCAAAGTTCTGAAATGTTTTCCATCCTTTAACATGTGTTCACTGATCAGATCAACGTTTTTATTCAAATTCATTTCATTGAAATACGTATTTGGTTTATCAAGCACAATATTCATTTTGTAAAATCAGCCCGACTCCGCAAAGTAATCCCAATTAATGTAATCATTTCACGCTTTTATCCTCTTACACCAGGTCATGGAGCCACTTCTGCAGAGAGTGGAGAAAACAATCCCAATGTCCAGACTGGCCCTGACACAGATAAGGAAAATGCCATTAAGCCAAACCTCCAGATAACATATAGCACATTTACTGTCAAGAATGGTCAAGATCTGAAGGTAGAGATCCCAGTGGTTGGGCACCCTGCACCAAAAATTGAATGGAAAAGAGATGGTCAGGCCGTCAAGGAGACATCAAGACTAGAGGTTACGAATATGTCATCATTAACAGTTCTTCATATCAGACATGCTGCCAGGGAGCACTTTGGTCAATATTCTATCATTGCAAACAACAGTGCTGGAAAATGTACAGGAGAAATCACTGTGGTTGTTCTGGAAAAGCCAGATCCACCTACAGGGCCTTTGAGAATTGATGAGATCAGTTCTGACTATGTTGTCATCTCCTG